GAATACTTTTATTTTATTTTTAGTTTTTTGTTTTTGGGACATAGTCTCTATCTGTAGTGCAGGCTATCCTTTAGCTCACTCTGTAGCCCAGGCTAGCCTTGCACTCACAGTGAGCCTCCTGTCTTAGCCTCCCGAGTGCTGGGATTCCAAGCATGTGCTATCTCGCCTGGTTGGAAGACTTCCAAATGCACTCTCAAACTGCACCATGAGTGAAGGTTCATTACCACTGTTGGAGAATCATGGTAAAAAATAAAAAATTCAGTATCATACAAGTATATTGTGTTGAAAATTTAATACCAAAAGTGATTTTTCTGAATAATTTAATGCCTCAGGATACTAAGCACAACTTCTACTATTAATAATAATTTACATTCTTAAAAACATCAGTGAACATGAAAACTGTGAAAAATCATTTTGAATTGGTATGTAATATGGAGTAAGATTTAGTGTCACATATAATTAAATTTATTCCCCTAAATAAATCTCTGGTGAATATTTGGAATTCTGTGGGTCTTGGGACAGTCATTGTTGCGTGTGGACTATGCTTTGCATTGGAGGCAGCTTGGCCGAGGTTAACCAGGAGGAGTTATGACTGAGTTGAAACTAAGCCAGTAGTGCTTCTTTGCTAGGGGGCAAACATCCTGATGCAGACTTGAGATGTCTGTGGAGCACTTGGAGAATTAAACCAAGGCACCAGCATAAATGTTTAGGTAGTTGGCTTCTTTTCTAGAACACTGAGATGAGTTTGTCAGTATCCAATGTGTCAAACTTTTGGAGATGTCCTGTCCTGGCCAAGAGACCTCTTGATTTTTTGGTGCTTTTGCACTCAGCAAATAGGGCCCTCGTTCTGTTTTCATATGCAGGGTCACCTGGAGAGGGAGTTACCAAGTTAGGGATGGGTCTAACATGTGAGTCATATAATAAAGTTACAGTAGTGGAACAAAACACAGGGAAAGGAAGAGGGTATACTAGCTAAACAATCTGTTACACTTTTTCCATTACAGTTTTAAAATTTCTGTTCATGAAGCTCATATGCACTGTGTTTTTTAAAATAAATATATTGGGGAAACAGTAATGTTATCTTATGCCTGAATGTGGTAGCAATGGGATTCCATTTTAATGCTGATCACACAAAGCCGTTTTAATGTTTCTAGGGCTTCTTAACATTGGATTTGACCTAATTTGCATTTATTTCTAAAGAGCTTCTTTGGAGGATTTCTGTCTCTCTCGGGAAAGAATATCACTAAATGTAAGGCCTGGAATATAATTCAATTCATCCTAATCACATTTCTCAATCCTTGATCTAATCAGCAAGCCGTTTTGCTTAGCTTCTTGGTCAAGTTCGTTCATTAACTCAGAAAGCACTTACTGAATATATGCTTTGAGTACCCTTGGGCCACAATGCAACAAGATTAATAGATGAATTGAGCCCTGTCCTTTAGGAGTTTATAGTCTTATTGAATGAAGTGAGGGAAATAATAGAACACTATTTAAAATGTATGATGGCTTTTCTACTTTAAATATATTAGAGGTCTTTTATGTCAGATAGTTGACATTAACTGTGACTATCCTCTCAAAACTACACTATCGAATATTTTCTTTTCATATCTATTTCACAGTTAACATCACAGTTCTTTTCAAAGATGCTTTTGTGATTACAGTCATTCTCTAAAAAGTGTTGCAAAATTAATAGAAAGAATCATTGACATTTCACGGTTTTGCTGACTATGGACTTGGGAGAATTTGGAGCAGGAGGAATGAATGGAAAATTGAAGCACCACTGATTTTTTTTTTACTGGAGCAAGTCTTAGTATAAAACCACTGCTCTCTCCACCCCTCCAAACACATACCAAGTTCTGTTATATTCTTAAATGACATCTTCCACCACCAAGATAAATTTAAATAAAAAAATAATATGCACTAATTTTATTTGAGGTCTGAGATATAATGGCATTATTTTCTTATTTTGAAAGAAAATATGTAGTCATGCATAATTATTGGGAAAAGAATTTTTCTTTCCATGACTGTATAAAAAGTGGAAAGCTGGAATCATATCCTATTTTCCACTCTCCTATGGTATCAAAATATTTTTCTTATTCTCATATATTATTCTTTTATGAGACTCATTTGCAGATTAGTAGCCACTTTGATGATTCTCATTTTTTTCTCCTAATGCTTATGTGTGTCATAGGCATATAGTTTTCTTCTGTTAACATTATAAAAATCAACTCAAATTTGCATTCACAGTAAGGACTACAGACCTTACTTGTTTCTACTTGTAGGCTAAAAAAGAATATGATATGACAGTAACTTTATTAAAGGTTAAATGTTTCCATATCTCTTATAGTCACATTGCACTTCCATAGTACATATAACCTTCACATCCTAGTTTGACTATCTGGATGACTTTCCTCCGGGTGATCCTAAAAAGTAGAATAATAAAGTTATGGTTGTCAGAGCTTCCAAATTCTGCTTGGCTATTACTGGTGATTGATGATAGAATTTTATTTCCTAGGGCTTCTTTTTCCTTTTCTCCACCCCGTCTTTTATGTTCTATGTTTCCTCTTTCTCCCTCTTCTTCTTTTTCCTGAGCGCAACTCTTTAGGGCAGTTTATAAAATGATGATGATTTTATGTTTCTGTCATTCACTTGAAACTGGGAAGTTTTCCAGGCATTCTAAGGCTTTGTGCTTGGACGCTGTTAGATAGTTTTGTAAATCTCTTATATTCAGATTGTAAAAAATGTTAAAAACATAAAGGTGGGACCTGTAACTTTGACACCACACAGAACTGGTTCTCTTCTGATGGGACGTCTAACAAACTAACACCCTTCAAAGCCAGAGAAAAATTCTAATGAAAAATGTTCAAGAAATTCTTTCAACTTATGTGGAAAAAAATGACTGGGGTTGAAGGATCACCGTAAAAGATCTTTCACTGTTTCTTTTTTATTGATTAATGATATGTAATATACTTAGGGATAAGGGGCCAAATTATTTACCTTGATGAAAGTGATGAAAAGGAGCAAGCACAAAGTCACAAAGACAGGTTCCACAAAAGTCCTACATGTTTCAGTGACTTTTTGAGTGGGTTTATAAAACAAGTATAGTGCATGCTGCCCAGTGGGAGATTTTGAAAGTAAGCTACTGAAAAAGTCGATGTGGTCAATTCCAACAACTGAAAATCTATGCACTATTTCTAGAACTTTCTGGATAGGAATGCAAGAGATTAGAAGAGAAAAAGAAAAGGAAAAAGAGGACTGGAGACTTGCTGAGCTCTCTAACACAGATAGTAATTGATTAATGACTGCACAACCTTGTGTCCTTCACTGGATTCTATTTGTCCTTTCTTTGTGCTTACGGGTTACTTTTCTTTTTGATCAGTTTCACAAATTCCATTTCTGGATGGGCATTGCTGAACATAATGAATATGCAGAGGGTTCATCTGCCCTTTATGGTCAACTGAACATTTATGTTCTGCCTTTACCCATTTCCGTTTCTGGGCGAGTACCTTTTTCTCTATTGGCTAAGTCATGTTGGGGTTCACCATAGGTCTTTCCATTGCTGCTTTCCTGCTCACCACCCACTACCTGCAGCCTGGTTCCTTTTTGCGGTGAGGTGGTGAAGGAGCCACAGCAGTGAGTCTGCAGGCTCATTCTCAGAGGTAGGAGGTTCCCGCTGTAATGCTCCTGCCATGGAAGAGAAGGTGCAGAGAGCCAACTGGAGGTCAAGTACATGGTGAAACTATGGATGTTTTCTCTAGATTATCCCTTGATGAGCCTTGGAAACTCATTGTTTTGCAACATGCCACTATTCTGATAAGTTTAAATGTGGATTTTACTGGTGCCTGATAATAGAATTTTATTTCAGGACACAGAAGGGACCCTCTTGAGATTGTATGTGACTGTAGGTTGCTGTGCCTTGTCCTCAGCCTGATTCAAGGCTCAGAGCTGCTGTAGCCCAAGATGTACCTGATTCAAATTTAGTTGCTTTTTGGATCACACTTAGATACCACCAGGGTGGAAGAGCCCTTCTCCCTTTCTAGGACCTATTTTTTAAAATCAAATCTGTGCTCACACTCAGCTTAAGCACCTTTCACATTTTTGATGGGACTGTCCAGAAGTTAAACTTTCATGATTCCTGAGAATGCCACAGATAACTCTAGGTGATCTGTGCTGTCTTCCTTTTTCTTGTTGTTCTTGTTCTCTCTGTGATATTTTCATCTCTCTTCTCTTGGCTGAATAATGGTAGTATTTGTTTTGCTAAATCAGCTCCTTTTATTTCTTATCTTTGCTGTCCAAAGTTGGGTATGACGTTCTCAAATCTCCTGATCCATTCTTCCCTTTTTGCCCTGACTCTAATACATTCTACTCGACAAACCTAGATTCTAAAGATTATATGTTTTTTTCTTACTGTGGGCCTTGGTAAGATGTTGGTTTTTGTTTTTGTTATTCTTTAGCATGTGTAGGTTCTTGGCAGGTAGAATTTAGAGCCTCTTGGAATTTAGAGCCTCAAATTTAGTTTATCCTCTGCAGGGTAAAGAAAAATGTTCTGAAGACAAGAGAGGAATAAGAAAGGACTTCCAGCTGTAACCAGCCCTGGACAGTGAAGGGATTTCAGTACAATACCACATGAGCCTACTTTCCTTGCTTTTCTCTGGCAACTTGAAAATTCTGCAACACTGCAGTTGCCCAAACCCTAAGTTTTTTTTTTTTTTTTTTTTTTTTTTTGGTAGAGAGCCCTCTACCCTGATTAGGAACTAACATATTAGCTTATGGTTCTGAAGCAATATTTCCCCCAGGTGACCTTTTCAAGTTCCCTGTCTTGTGGGATCTGCCCTTGCCAAGATTAGAGAGGTGTATTTTAGTGCAATCATACAGGGCTTCCTATGTAGTAAGCTAACTTAGATATTATTTCTACCCCTTGGGAAATTCTGAGCTCTGTATGAGATTCTGATGTTGGTTTTTCTTTGTGTTTTTTTTTTTTTTTTTTCTTCCTGCTGCAGGAAAGCAATATCCCGGGCAGGCCTCCAGCATCTGGCTCCTGCACATCCCCTCAGCCTTCCTGTGGCAAACGGTCCAGCGAAGGAGCCCAGAGCAACTCTGGACTGGAGTGTAGGTGTTGGCTTTTACACTTCCACATAATTCTAGTTGCATGTTGTGTTTTTCTTCTCATTCTCAGGATTTTTATAGCTATAAGAAGGAGTGACTTGATAATGTCTCTAGATATCTAAGCTATAGCTCTCTTTCCAAACTCCTAGGCACAAAACACCTGTACTGAAGACAGGTACACTGAAATGAAAATCACTTCACTAAGTGTTTGAAAAACTATTGCCTAGCCTTCCAGGTGTGAGATAAAAAGTACCTGGTGCACTTGCATTATTGGCTTGCACCAAGCTGAGGAAATGATGAGCAGAGCTTACCCTTAGGAACATGTTAGGAACGGAAATCCTTTCCTATGTCAAACTGGTTCTTCAGGGTTATCTTTTGTTCTGTCAGAAAATTATATCACTTCATATTCTAGGCACTTCATGTTCTCCTTTTGGTTGTATTTTCTTCCCCAATTCAAAGATGGGTGATGCTTGCAACTGAGGGTTGGTAATATTAGCTGATGCTGATATTTTAACCAGAACACAGCCTTAGAACCTATTGACTTAACTGAAAATTGCAGGCTCAAATCTGAAATGAGTTAGAATTGAGAATCTTCGGTAGTGAAATTCTTGGTTGATGATGCCTGTAACTGTAGACCTGCAGTAGGACAAGATCGTTCCCTTTCCAATAAGGAACTGCATCCAGTAAAGAAGGGTTGTTCTGAAGTTCTGTCATTCTACCGTGAAGATGGCCTTTGTTTGGAGTTTTTAGTGAAGCTTGAATGGACAGGATAATCCATGACCTTTTCGTGTTTTATGAAAGAGAATCGTGGAATGGGGAAAGGGAAAGAATTTTTAAAATTTATGTTTTAATTGATAAATACATAAAATTCACACATTTAAGGGGGTATTGTGATATTTTGATATATCTATATAGTGTATAATGTTTAAATCAGGACAAATGTATTTACCTAATATTTATTGTTTATGATAAAAATATTCAAAAGCTTTTCTTCTGGCTTCTTGAAACATATGATATATTATCACTGTTTACAATCACTCTCTTGTGAAATAGCATGTAAGAATATTCTAGGCATATTTAGCTATAACTTATAGCCATTGGCCAACTTTTGGCCATTTCTCCTACTCCCATATTCTCTGCAGACTCTGGGAACCACCATTCTACTCTCAGCTTTTATGAGATCACCTCTTTTAGATTCTACATCTGTGTCAGATCACATAGTACTTGCCATCCTGTGCCTGCCTTATTTCTTTTAACAGTAATGACTATTTATGTTGCAAATGACAAGCTGCCATCCTTTTGATGGCTAAATAGTATTCCGTCACACACATGAACCATATTTGCTTTACCTGTTCATCAGGGATTGAATATTTGGACAGTTCACATTCCTTGACTGTTAGGAATAGTGCTGCAGTGAGCATAGTAGTACAGATGTATCTGACATACATTTTTCATTTCCTTTAGGTACATATGGTGAGCCTAGGATAGTCTATTTTTTAATTTTTTTAGGACCATCTACAGTTCATCAATAGCCATACTAGTTTTTATTCCCAACTCGGTACACATTTTCCTTTTTTGTCCTCTACATCCTCTGTAGAACTCATTATACTTTGTCTTTTGGATAAAAGCCTTTTTACTGGGGAAGCAGTAGGGTGATATCTCATTGTGGTTTTGATTTACAGCTCCCTAATGATTAGTAATTTTTAACCATTTTTTCATATGTGTTGATGATATAATATTTAGGTGATGGGCCAGGGATGTAGCTCAGTGGCATAAGCGCCTGCCTGGCAAGTACAAGGTCGTGATTTGATCCCTGGTACACTGTCCATTTAAAAATCTGGTTGTTTGATTTTTTTATGCTACTGAGTGTCTTATTTACTTTTCTCTTGTTGAGACAAAATACCTGACGCCCAAAATGAAGGAAGGAAAGGTTTATTTCTTACAGTTCTTGGGGGTTTCAGTCCATACTCAGTTGGCTCCAAGGCAGCGCGTTGTGGTGGCAGCCGCAAACAGCCAAAGCTAACCAGGCGAGAGAGAGACACATCTTCCCACCTGTACTATATACTGGCTCCAGCCCTGAGTGGGTGTAGTGCTCACATCACCAATCCGAGTGCTAGCCAACAAGCCAATCACAAAGGCTAGATTTGGTCGCGTTCACTGACATAAACTATGACATTGAGTTTCTTTTTTAATTCCTTAAACACTCTGGATATTAATTTCTTGTTATTTGTATATTGTTTAAATATCTTCTCTCATGCTATAGGTTGTCCTTTCACTATGTTTCTTTTGCTGTGCAGAAGCTTTTCAGTTTTATGTGAGTCAATTGGTGTATTTTGGCTTTTATTTTCGGGCCTTTTATGGTCTTTTCCAGAAACTCTTTGCCAATTTTGATGTCCTGAAGTCCTTTTCTATATTTTCTTCTAGTAATTTCTTGTCTTTAGTACATTTAGGGTTGATTTTGTAACTAGTGAGAAACAAGAGTCATTCTGTTCTGCTTATAGCTATCTAATTTTTCCAGCATCATTTATTGAAAATACTGCCATTTCTTCAGTATGTGTTCTTAGCATCTGGATTGAAAATCAGTTGAGTATAGTGCATTTTTCAAAGAATAGAAGCTATGATGTAACCTCCTTTGTAACATTTACCTATCTCCCAGCACATCCTTGACTTTTTTAAAAATTCTGAACACATGCCAGTGTAACTGTTGCTTAGATTTATCAATTGTCTGGCAAAAGACTAGATGTAATTGAAGTGCAACTTCTTGCTTGATGGAGATGATATTATCCTGAAAGTCCTCAGATACTATCTGAGTGGTATCTGGGGAGAGTATTCTTTTCTTAGGACTTCCCTTTATTTTAGGACAGCCAGAACAGAGTATGAGATATAGTCACAATAGAACAGAATAGAGCCTAACTATGGCAAAGAATATACTTTACCATTATACATATGCAACTGTCTATAATAATTACAATGAATTAGTGATATAATCATCTAAGTAAAATTGAAGGGTGATGTACCTGGACCAGGCATGAGTTCATTAGGACTGAAATACTAACAAATCAGTTTAATGTTCATGATGTTCCAAACAATTCTCTGACCAAAAGCAGCAGGACCCTACTTGAGATACGACATTTTCACTCTCAAAGAGGGATAGTTTAAATCATTAGGTTAGAGACATTCATTGTTTCCTTTCTCTGCCTATTGCTTTAAGTTAGCAAGTACCTTTATAGTACCTTTATTTATTCAGATCTAAAGTAAGTGATGTATCTATTAATTTGTCAAACTTTTGTTGAGTGCCAGCTTTGTACTAGAATATGTGTAGGTTCTTGGGATCATGAGGTGAAGAAGATAGGAGTTCTCCTTTCAAAGAGTTTAGACTTCAGTGAGAAAAAAAGAAATTCTCAGCCAGAGTATGGGGTAGTGATTCCTAGAACAAAAGGATCAACTGGAATGTGTGAAAAGACCCTTCATACCCCCTTGATGTCAGAAATAGTTACAGCAAATGCCTTTCTGTAAGTATCTTGCCTGAGCCAGCATTTGGGTACAAGGTGTTATTTTCTGAATCGGGAAGAAAGGGATATATTTATCTAATGTTCATCAGAATGGTATTTTTGGCTAGTGGTTGGAGAAGGCATTACAGAATAAGGAAGCATACAGGAACCAAAGCTGGATTTGAGTGTAGTGGTCTGTCATTCCCTCTTTACATTCCTCTTTTTGATTGTTGGCATCCTGGATGGGGGTCTGTTGAAATTACAGTATGGCAGAAAACACTTGGGGGAATGTTTAACAATGAAGGAAAAGGAAAAGCCCTAGGGTGCTTCATCTGAGGGCTTTGTTAGAGATCTGATATGTAGGGATTTAGGAGATGTTGCTATGAAAACACCATATTTGTGGGCTAATAACGGTGTTAGAAAAGAAAAGTCAAGACCGAATCAGTGTTACATTTCTTTATTAGGGTCACAAAAAACACTTGTTTCAGAAAAGGAAGAAATAGATTGTTAAAAATTTTTTTCTCTCTTTCTTTTTTTCTCTTTCTTTCTTTCTTTCTTTCTTTCTTTCTTTCTTTCTTTCTTTCTCCTTAAGGCTGATTATTTACTTTTTAAAAAAATTTTTTTTGGGCTCTTACTACTGAATGTACTTTTCAACAATTTAATTTAGATCATGTTAGTCTGTTCTTCCGTTCAAGGAATAATAATCATGAATTTGTTTCCTTTGTTTAAAGTGATACAAGAGTCTTTGGACTTGCCCATTTCTTTTCTTCCACTCCCTAGTGTGGTTTCCTATAGAAATACAGTGAGACAACTTTTCTTAGACTAGTAACCCTCTCTTCTGAACTCCATGTCTAAAAATGATCAGTCTTTACTCATTCAGTACTAGAGGGCTGATAAGGCCTTGGACTTCTTGCAAGTCTATCGAATAAAAAGGAGGATGGTAAGAATTAAAAGTAAATGGGTTGTGGTGAGTAGTTCATTATCCAGCATACATGAGACCTGGGTTTGATCTTCAGGTCTACAAATAATAATAATAATAATAATAATAATAATAATAATAATAATTTAACATGAACTAAAAATAGAACTTCCAATTAACCACCTTGGGTGAAATACAGTAGGTTAAGTAATACTTCTAAGGTTCTTGAGCACAGTGGCAGACTTGGGTACCAGGACAGATGAAAGTTCCTTTTCCTCTTCTTACTCCTCTTGACTCCCAGGTTAAAATTCTCTTTGCTCCATCCTTTGGCTGAAGGGGATGGGAATCATCCCAAGGCCTTTGGTGCAGTGACCCTTTGCTTATGTCCGCTCTATTTGCCTCACTTCACCAGTAAGGAAACAGGTACTAAAACTATTCATGGTGTATCTAAAGTTGCAAGGAACATCAGAATCAACCTGGAATGAGGATCTTAGTCCACAGAGGTTTTTTGTTTTGTTTTTTGCTTTGTTTCTGTTTTCAGTGCTGGGAGTCATTGCACTGAGCTATGAACCCAGTTCTTTGTATTTTTGAGA